CCCGTACCCCCCCTCGGGGGGCTGGGGGTGCCCCTTGTGCCGGTGGCTGCACCGGCTCCATCAGCCCGGGAGGTGCTGGGAGCTCAACCCTGCAAACCCCCCCTGCCCCCCGAGGAACCCCAGGGTGGGTTGGAGGGACCTCAAAGCTCATCCAGTCCCACCCCTGCATGGGCAGGGACACCTCCCAGCAGCCCAGGCTGCTCCAAGCCCCATCCAACCTGCCCTTCAACACTGCCAGGGATGGGGCAGCCACAGCTTCCCTGGGCAACCTGGGCCAGGCTCTCACCACCCTCCAGGTCCTGCCTGTGCTGGGATCAGCCAGAGCTCTGGCCCCACAGCTCCCCAGAAAGCAGCCACCCCCCAGCAGAGGATGCTCTGGCTGCCCCAGGGCCCCCCAGCCCCCCCAGTTTCCCAGGCACTGCCCTCACCCTCCCCAGCCACCCAGAGGACACAGGTTTTGCACCCAAATCAGCCCTGTGAGTCCCCCTGGGTACCCCAAGTTCCCACCCTGTTGGGGTTCAGCTGGTTCTGCAGCAGAGCTGGACCCCCCTGCCTGGCACCCCTGGCTCCCAGCAGGTCAGTTCCCACCCTTGTGTCCCTCCCCCCCAGCTTTGCTCTAGACCATCAGCAAAGCACCCAAAGAAAGGTGGGAGCAGCTGGAAGGGGTTTCCTGGGGTGCCCAGGTTGGCTGTGGGGTAGTCAGGGTGCACTGAGCACCCCCAGATGTTCCTGCTGTGCCCAGTGGAACAAGTGGGAAGTGCCCAGGGCTGCAGTGGGAGAACATCCCTGTCCCTGCCCTCCTCTCCAGCCAAACCCACCAATGCCTGGGCCATGGGCATGGGATTGACTTGGCTTTTGAGCTCCTGGTGGGTTCCACTCTCTGCCCTACCTGTAGGACCCCCTGGGGCCCAACGTGGGGCTCCTCATCCCTCCTGCCCTTGGGCTCCAAGTCAGGGGAAAACAAACCCAAACCAAAAGGGCCATTTTCCTCATGGAAGAAACTCAAGTGATGCTTCCCAAAGTGGATCTGCAGCACCTCCCACGTGGAGCCTGATCCCTCTGTCCCACTGCCTGACAGCCCTGAGCTCAAGCTCCTGGGCTGCTGGATTCACCCTGCCTGGGGCAGAAAAGGAAAATGATGGGGTGAAAAGAAGAATGGAGCCAAGAAACATCCCTGCCTGGCTGCCCAGGACTCCAGCCTTGGCCCTGGGGTTGATGGGGAGGAGTTGCTGAGCACAGGGAGGCCCAGGGGTGAGGGGCAGGAGGCAGGGAAAGGCAGGTCAGCAGCCAGGGATGCCAGGCTGTGCAGGGCAGGTGCCAGCAGAGCCTGTGCCAGCAGAGGAGAGTTGCACTGGGGTATTTTGGGAGCCAGCAGGCAGCAGAAGAGCAGGATGTGCTGGAGAAACCATGTGGCCCAGCCTGGGTGCTGGGGTGGTTGGTCCTGTGCACCCCAGAGGGGTGAGCCCCCACAAGCTGGGCCCACTTCCCTGCTTTCCTCCCAGCTCTGGGGGGTCCTCTCTGCACCCCACATGCCCCTGCACCCCCCTGGGACACCAGGAGAGCACCCAAAGGGCCCAGAGAGAGGGATGGGAGGGGAGACAACCATGCACCAAACCTCCCTCCTGCCCCTTCCCAGGCTGGCTCAGAGCACTGGGGTCCCCCCTGGGCAGGGTGATGGGGTGAGGGGGGTTGGTGCCCAAGCAGGGTGACAGATGCTTTTGGTGTGCAAAACATCATCGAGTCCCAGATTGGTTTGGGTTGGCAGGACCTTAAAGCTCATCCAGTCCCACCCCTGCATGGGCAGGGACACCTCCCACCAGCCCAAGCTGCTCCAAGCCCCATCCAACCTGCCCTTCAACACTGCC